CCAGAACTGAGACTTGAACTCAGACCCTTGCGCTTGCCAGGTAAGCCCTTATTCTACGGAGCCATCTCCCTGGCCCCTTTTCTTTTCTATTAAGGAATTTCCAAGCATGTTTATTTTGGTGAACTTTTTTAAAATTTAGGATTTTATAAAACACATATGGTTGGGAGGGTTAACAGTGTCAGAACATCTCATTCTCTTACCTTGCTGCCCTGTAGTTATATATTCCCTGTGTGTAGAAGTAGATCTTTTTATGCTAAACATTTCACCTAAGGTGGTGTTTTTTAAGTTGAGAAATTTAAATAACCTTTCCGAGAATTTTAAAACTTTATATATATAATGTACATTTTGTTTTCTTTGTTCACTCGTACTTTGTTCACTCTTACTGAGTGAAATATTTAAGTATAACATCTTGGCTGCCCTTTTTATAAAATTCAAAACATTTACGAAATTTATAGCATAGATTTTTTTTCCTATTAGGTTACTCAGACTTTAGAAAATGACATACTACTTTTTTTTTTTTTTTTTTTTTTTAATGTATTTGGTACAGAGTCTCACTGTGTAGCTTGGACTCATAGTTATCCTCCTGTTTTCAGCTTCCCCAGCACTGGGATTGCAGGCATGCCCCATCTCTGTGGCTGGCTCAGGGCACCCAGGGCCGGGGCCAGCATAGCATGTGTTGCTGGGGATGTAACCCTGCCTGGGCCCTGAGTTTGCCTAAGCAGGCCCTTAGTCTGCTGAGCTATCTCACCAACCCTCATGGTACTACTTTTAAGATTGATACATTTTGTTTTCTTTTTTTCATTTTACTTGCTCTCATTGAAGCCTTTTTATTTTGCTGATTGAAGTTAGCTTAATAAGCAAAGATGGATCCTGTTAACATCAAATGCCATTCTTTATGTGGATGTTTATTGTAGAGGAATCAATGTTCAAGCCTTGTCCTTAATAATTTAAGCATTATGACAGCTACAGAATAAGAAAAGCTTTTCTACAAGGCACACCTGTGTGACCTATAGGTTCCTTGATAAATCAAGCTTAAGCAAGAAATGACCTTAAGGGTGTGACATATAACAGACCTTAGACACTGAGATGTCAGCAAGCTGAGTGTTCAGAATGCTGGCTTGATAAAGGCACTGGGCTGGTAGTCAACAATGGGATGGGGAAGGTAGCAGGAAATAGTTGCATACATTTTTTTGGACTTAGAGCATGACCTGTTAGTTTTTGAGATAGTAGCCCCCCCCCCCCCAACGAGTTGGTTATAAAGCCAAGATGTGGCCTTTGGGACATAGATAATGCCCTTTTAATGACACTTGAAATTAATTCCTTTAGTGTAATCCTCTAGCAAAGAAATGAGAAAATTGAATTTGTAAAGCTTCGTTCTGCCCAGAGATTTTGGAGTAGAAAAGGGCTGTACATTTGTGAATAGATGCTTAAGTAGACGATGAAAATAAAATATCATTTGAGCAAACTGTCCTATGCCAGAAAGTCTCAGGCACCAAAATAGCCTGGCAGGTTGCAAGATAATGTTTCCTTCAAGGCTTTATCCTCAACAAATTAAAACTAGAACAGTTGACATAATAGAAAGGGATACTGTGTCCTTGGTACTCTTGTTTCTGAACTGCATTATTATAAAATGTGTCTGTCAGTAAATCATATAGAGAATGTGATATTCTGTTAAATAGCTGTCAACTCTCCTATTTTCAAGTTCCTGTATGATTTTCAAGTAATTCTAAACTTCTTTGAGAAGTAATATTGGTTTCCTTTTCTTGCAAAAGTGTGTTCTTTTAGCAATACTAGTGTTCTGAAGTTTGCACTTGCATTTTTAGCAAAGAAAGCATTTGTCAAACAACGATCTGACCTTATAATTGGGAATGCATCTAGACTTTTTTAGGGGGAGATTATAGGTCAATAGACTCCATTAATTAATTCCTTCTTAGTATCTGGTGTTTAGTAAATTCCAGAGACAGCTTTAATCCGATTTAGTCACATATATTACATTGAAAGATAAAAGAATGAGTGTACTCAGGAATAAACAATTCCCTCAACAGTGACATCTCTTATTTTGGAAAAGTGAGAGGATGATATTTGGTTTCAAAGCTTGAGATGACTCTTTAACACATTGATCTCAGAAAGTGGATTTTGATAACAACATACAACTGTCTCTCACACTGGCTGCACTCTCCATTGGACTGTGGTGGACTTTCGATAGATCCAGAAGTGGTTTTGGCCTTGGAGTAGGAATCGCGTTCTTGGCAACGGTGGTCACTCAGCTGCTAGTCTATAACGGTGTTTATCAGTAAGTATTATTTTTTTTGGTGCTTCTTTACTCAGTAAATAAATGCTAACAACATTCAGAATTCAGGCTGAATCTACAAGTAACTTATTTTCTTAGATAAATTGTAATTATCTTAAATGTTAAAATATATTTTTATTCTAGGTATACATCTCCAGATTTTCTCTATGTTCGCTCCTGGTTACCATGTATATATTTTGCTGGAGGCATAACAATGGGAAACATTGGTCGACAACTGGCAATGGTAACCTAGTGCTTATTTTGTCACTGTCTATATGAGCTACATATGATGAGTTTTCTCTAAATAATGGTTCTTCTAGAGAAGGCCCTTATTTGTAAAGACAGCATTCTTTGATTTCTCTTACACTTTCATTGAAATAACCCATTTGGAAGAAATTCATCCAGATCTGTTAAATGTGGAAAAGTCGCTGGAGAAAAAAGCCAAAATGTGTTAGGATTAAGGGTGTATGATTTATTGACCATGTGTAGACTTAGATTTTTAATGTGATAAATGTGTAACCTAGATTCTTTGAGGAATAAAGGACATATATATTATTTATTTATAGAACCTTTTGTAGTTTAATCTACATGTTTCTAATCCATCGAAAAGAAATGGTTGTAAAAGTGAAAAGGGGTACTTTCAATAACCACATTGCTACAATATTGATAAATTAGAACTGTCTATAGCTAATCCAGTTGTTTGATCATTTTAGTTTTGAAGGAAAGGACATTGTTGATAACCCCAGCCCTAGAAGCAAGGGTTAGAGTGTAAGAGACACCACTTACCGTTTTAGTGAGCTAGGAGAATTGAGTGATGTACTTTGCTGTGTTTTTAACCATCTGGCTGCTCCGTTATTCTAATTCCATTGATTTCCTCTATTTTGTTTCATGGGTGTACATTTTTATGGCTGTACTTTAAAAATGCTTTTTTGACCAGAAGCTTTTTGTAATGTAATAATTTTTTTCCTTTAAATCATAGGTGATTTAAAAAAACAAGTATCTGAGTTCACTACATCAGATCTATCTTTTAAGTTATAGCCTTTGCTTTGCTGACTTGCCATACTGAGCATTCAAGGAGACCTACTTCGCTTTCTCTTATATTCTAAGATTGATCTAAATCATAAATTGCTATCATTTGCTTGTAATGCAGAAAAGTTACCCATGTCCTGCTTTTGCCAGTGGCCCTTTCACTTCTAGAATGTGAATTAACATTTGTTCTATAACATTTGTTATTTGATTGTAGTAAATTTGTAAACTCAAGATTCTTTGAAGAATAAATGACATATATATTTATAGAACTTTTTTAGTTTATGTGGAAGTTGCAATTCCAAGAGATTTTATTTCGTAACATTTTAACTTTTACTTTTTGCAGTATGAATGTAAAGTTATTGCAGAAAAATCTCATCAAGAATGAAGAAGGAAAAAATATATCTTTTGTACAGAAAAACATGAAGAAAAGGGCATGTAAATTACATCGACAAATTTTGGACTGTAAAATTGCTAGGATGCAGTTTTTCCCCTGATTGGTGTGTATAGACACACATACAGACACACGCACACACACACATGTACAAAACATTACTACTGCAATCTGTGATTGCTTTATCTGTAAATCAGTTACAAACCTTTATGTATGTGACCTAAAAACTGTAAGATATGTGCATTACATGAAAAATGTTGATTAGTAGTAGATACGTTTTTTTTTTAAATTAATTTGTTAAACATACCATACATTATAATGTTAATGTGCCAAATTATTCTATTACTATCATTAAGAGTCTAAGAATGCTTTGAACAATTTATAAACAGTGAAATAAAATAAGAGGAATGCCAAAAATAAAAAGCAAATGGGGAGCTGGTATTTTCTCTGTCACTTACTTTTCTCTGTTGTGCCTTTTGTGTTTTTCAAATCACTGCAGTTATGAGTGCCCAAGTGTATGATTGGTGTTTATTTTGGTGTTGTTTCACAGAGTTTTAAATATTTCAGACTATAATGAAATTGAACTTTCATAGAGAAGGGTTTCAAACCTGCGTTACTGGATGGAGCCAAGAAAGCAATTTTCTGTTTTGGCAGGTTTTATTAGAGTTATACGTGATGAATAGATGATAAGCACTATTAAACTGTTTTGAGTGTGAAATTGGAAGAAAATATATAATTAGAACTTAGGAAATTTAACTAGAATAAATCTATGTTTTGGAACAACAAAGTGACCTCCTGTACTGGTACAAAGTATATAGTGATATTAGCTGTTATTTGCAATACAGAATCTCACACTGCTTTTGTACATGGGACAAATAGGAAACTTCAAACAGATTGAAATGAAGTTTCTAATTCTATTGGGTTGTATAATCCATTGGTTCTGTAAAACAAACCACATTACCTGGGCTTAGTCTTCTGATTCATTCATTGTCAGTGAAATGCCTGGATCTGCAACCTTATCAGAAGCAGTCTGGGGAATGGATGGGTGCACACTTTCTTATGAACTCGTGTCCATTGGTGAATAGTTCTGCTTGTTTAAGGATGAATTGAGATGGTATTCTATGCATGTTAAAGATTTGGAAACAGTTTTGGGCATGCCTTTTGAATAACTAGAGCCATTTAAGTATGGTTTAAATATATTCTTAACAAAGTTTCTCCCTCCTTGTTCCTTTTGAAATGATTGACAGTGTCTGATCCCCAAGAGCAAAATCTGCTGAGTATTTTGGTGAGCATGTGTGTTGTATGTGTGATTGAATGAGAGCAGATATGTATGTGCATGTGCTCATGTTCTCCTAGAATGTCATATAGATATTTTAAAATGTTTTGTTTTAAAACTTGCTGTCAGACTGAAATCTTGTATGCCAAACTTTAATGTTTTGTGTTTTAAGGCTGAAAGTGTGAAAATGCTAAGAGGATTTCATGTTGAATATGTGTATACAAGCTTAACTATAGTGGTGGTAAATATACTACTATAATTTATTATTTTATCTTCCAGATGTTATTCATTTAGGACAAATAAAATATATTTTTAGAATCAACTTTTTAAGCACTATGAAGTCTTTAATAAGTTATAAGTTCTATGATGTGTTTACTTTGAAAATTGCTGTTCAAAGCAAAATGCATTAAATAAGTAATTATCATCTTGGCTAAGAGTCTTTTTTTCTTTTTCATAGTGAGTCTTAGAATATTGTACTGTGGATTAGCCTTGTGAAATTAATGTTTGGTTGAATTTATTAAGAAATGAAGTAAGGATACAGTGTTAGGGAGATTAAATAAATATCATTGGAGTTCTTAAATTTTTCCATATCATCTAGAAAACAACAAAGATTATATAGCAAAATAATTTGAATATTTTGGTAAATATGTGAAAGCAATTGTTTTGTGATGAATGGAAAAGGTTAATCTTTAGTAGTATTATCTTGGCAGTACTTTTTTCCTTTTTTATTTAAAGTTACAGAATTTGAATCGCCAAAAACTGGTACTAAATTCTACAAAACCTCAAGAAAACGATTAAAATTAGCCCAAGCCCTGCTGGTACTTTTGTTAGAAAATTTATTCCTACTTAGCTGTTTTGTCTCCTTTAAGGCCGTGGAAACTTTCTGTGGTACATACATAACAGATCCCTTATATTTTCTAGGTGGAATCCAGACTCAGTCAGTATCAGTAATTACTCTTGTGCTCCTTTTGCCTCACTTGTTTTCATACTGAAGTGTTTAAGTATATTCTGTATAATTCAGTTACTCTGGTGGCAATGATGTGGGAAGGTATTTTTTTCTTCCTTTTTTATCTTCCTATCTGTCTGTCTTCCGTCTGTCTGTCTCTCTCTCTCTCTCTCTCTCTCTCTCTCTCTCTCTCTCTCTCTCTCTCTCTCTTTCTTTCTTCTGAAGTCCATTTTATTGAAGAGCACTAGCAGGCAGAATTCTAGGTTCATCATTTTCCTTTTCCTCCTTTAACCCACTTGGAAGATTTTTAACTTATCTTCCATCGTCTCATATGGAAGTCTAGGGTTAGTGTAATTTTTCTTCCTTTGTGGGAAATTTGTGATTTTACTCAAAGGATAGTTTTACATTTCTCTTTATCCTTAAACTTTTTCATTTTACCCAGATATGTTTACATGGGGATATGTTTTCATTTTCCTTGAATGGTATTCAGTGCACATTGAATCTGTGGGTGCATATCTTCAGTTCTGGAAAATTCTTATGTGTGGTTGATAAAAAATGTGAATATTCATCATTTAAAAAAATGATTATAGTGAAATATACATTGTCATTAATTCCCCTAAAAATACCCCCTCCTTTTTCTTTAAAAACTCTTATCTGTCATCCTTGCTGCTCTCTGAAATAATTCTGAAGGTTTTGTTTCATGCCTTTAGTTGCACTGGCATAGCTGCCTCAGTGTCCTGAATCACTTTCACTTTCAAATGTTTACCTTCCATGGTCATCGTAACTTGGGGGAAATGCCGGAAGTTGTATGGTGCCAGACAGTGGACAGGGCAGATGAACACAGACCTTTCCCTTCGGTGTCACTTTGCAGTAAGATCCAGTGTATTTTGAATCATTGCTGCAAGAGAGTCATCAGCATGTGACTAGAATACACTGGGAATGAGCCAGATCACCTGGAGAACAAGTTAGGTGAAGAGAAGAGGTCGGAGGTGTACTAGCACATTGACAGAGAAGCTGGCAAAGGAAGTAAAGGGGTCAGAAGTAGAAGAACCAGGAAGAGCGCTGTGGACAAAGAACATTTGAGGCAGGGGTCAGCGCTTCTATGAAGTGCAATTGGAAGAGTGCATTAATCTTAGCAGGAGAGGATGATACTCCATTTTCTTTGTTAAAATGCTTTTATTAGCATGTGTTTAAAAATATTTAACTATCTTCTATTAAAAATACCTATTTTTTTAAAAAAGAAAAACTTGATCAAATATTATGACCCTGTTGGAAGTGAGGGAAGCATTGGGCCACTGTAAAAGAAAGATTTTGGAGTTCTGAATCGCGTCTATGGAACACGAACATAGGAACTGAGTAGAGATGAAAAAAATATTGTCAGATAACTTTGAAAGAACACTGGTGATTGGGACAGTATAAACTATGGGTCTAGGAAATGACTGGAGACAAAATGTTGTCAGGCAGTTTGGAGGCCCTTAAGGACTCTAATGAATGTAAAAATCAAGTGTTTGCAAGAGAGCTAGACAATATGATGTGCTCTGGGCTTGGCCGGTCAGGAGTTTCTAGATCCTGGAGTAGGCTGAGTCTAGTTTGAAAGTCACCGGTTAGCATGGTGCAGGCTGTATGAAAATTTGAAAGAGCCTCTTAATAAATGACATTGAATGTAAGGCAAATTGGGGGAAGAAACTGAATCAGGAGTGCTGACCTGATGGCATGAGATAATGAGGTGAAGACAAAGGACTAAATCAAAGGAGATTAAAGGCCCTGTTTAATGGGAAGGTGGTGGGAATGGGGTTTGCCGGCAGAAGAGACTATAATTTGGCACTTCTAGATCTTAACTTGGTCCAGAGAGTTATCTAAACAAGTGTGTTTAATGAGTTCACTAAAATAGGTGGATATGAAAAGCAGTAGAGTAGAAGTGAACATCCTGGATGTCTTGCATACTGATTTTGTTTTTATTTTATTGAGAAATAGCAATGAGACAGCTTCAAAACCGATTAGTAGGACAGTTTCAATAATTAATACATGGCATATTGTTGTCTTCATAATGGTTATTCATAGTACAAGATGCAGACATGATATCCTGTCCAAACACTGTTAGAACAAACCTCATTGAATTAAGAGAAAGTAGCTGTGTATCTATCCTATTTTGTATATGCAGATATAAAATGGTCCTTCATTTGTATCCCCTTTTTTTTGTTTAATTTTGTCAGAGATTGGTATTCCATTGTCATCTAAATATTGTAGGTGTGTAAATTCAGCAAAATAATCCAATATAGTCCAGTAGTCCATAATAGTAGTGGGTTATCTGTAGGACTGGCAATGTCAGAAGTTGTTGACTTGAGCCTTTTACAGCTCAGCATATTAATATGTCTATACTTTTTATACCTCATTTTTATACTTTTCTGGTGGATGGTTAAGACCAAGATAAAGCAAGACCTATATAACAAGAAATGTAACTTTTGTATCTGCCAAGGTCAGTCAAATCCCCTCAGGATTTACCCTGAAACCCTGTACCACAGTTTGTAGATCCTTTATCTGTGTTAGCCATCTGGATGAGTCACGGCCATTGCCTGACCAATTTTGCATACTGATTGTAACATCACCTGGAATGATTTACAGGTCCTTTGGAAAGGAAGGGAAGTCATCTATACTCCTTTGCTATTGACTAAAATAACGATCCAAATGCTTTGGTTATATTGGGGTTTTAACTAAGGTCTCTTTCCTTATTTGTTTATTTATTTATTTATTTTGTTAGATATTTGTCATCATCCTAG